CGCCCCGCAGTGAGCGGAGGCCGGTTCCCCCGGGCCCGCCGCTCCCCAGGACCTGGCCTGTTTATGGAGCCGGTCAGGCTGAGAGGTCTGCTCTACAGATAAAGACAGAGCCTTTGATTGGGGGATTAAGAGACTCTCAACCCATCTCAGGGTGAGCCCTGGTTTGTGTGAGCCTGTGCCTGAGGGGGCACCCGGGACGCCCTTCCAGGCTTGGGGTGGGGGGTGGGGGTGCCAGCTCAGCAGGCCCTAGGGCAGAGGGAGTTCAGTACACAGACTCCTGTAGGGAAGCCTGGCAGGAGGGGGGGGGGGGGGTCTGTGCAGTTCGTAAGGGGATTTGAGGGTGGGGACAAACCCCTCAGACACACTGTTAGTGGGAGTGGCACCTCCCACACCCACTCTGTCAAGTAGGACTCGGCCATCCCGAGCAGGGAAGCACAGTCTGGTCTGTGGCTCTTGGGTCTTGAGCGTGTTTGCATTTGCATGACTGCAGCTGAGTTAACTGCAGGAAGAAGTCTGGGCAGGGGCTGGTCCATGGGCCTGATGGTAACAAATCCCATAACAGCAAAAGCACGGGTCCCGCTCGAATCCTGGGTCCAAGTCTCCGAATGCAAAGACCCCCGAGGGGTTTGGCTGCTGACGGGATGGTTATGACATTAAAGAATCGTTCATGTTTAAGTATGAGCATGGCTCTTAATGACTCCTCAAATTTCACAAAGAGCTGGTATGGTTTTTAAAAACAGGTGCCTGCCAAGGGAATTCTGGGTGAAATGGTAAACATACGGTACCTCTTACAAATTCACCTGTTATTTTAAAAATGAGGTTATGGGAAGGAACATAAAAAAAGTTTCATCATTTCATGTATTTCTTACGGCAGCTCCCCCAGCAAGACACATCCCCAAATGTGCAGCCGGAAACCAAGCTGAGAGATGGGTGACCTTAGGCTCTCCCCGCGAGGAAGGAGCAGGGCAGCACCCTCCCCACCCCATGTCCCTCCTCTGCCCACGCTGCTCTGGGTGGCACTGAGGCAGCGATGGGCTGGAGCCACACCCCTCCTCGCTCTGGGCTTCTTCCGCATCCCTAACGCTGCCCTCACAGAAAGCAAACTGGATGCCTGCCCGGTCCTGCCGGACCAGGCTCTGGGGTCAGGGTTCTGAGTGGGTGTCTGAAGGTTCACCCCCGCCTCCCCCCGGACCCAGGCCCTGCCCGGACCACAGGCCTACAGAAAGGTGAGGACACAGCGGCCACGTGATAGGGCTGCGTGATAGGGGCTGTGTGCCTGGAGCCATGTGGCAGGAGCCACGTGGTCTGGGCTACGTGACAGGGGCCACAGGATAGGGGCCATGTGCCAGGGCTACGTGATAGGGGCTGCGTGTCCTGGGTTGCGTGTCAGGGGCCATGTGTCCGGGCTGGTGAGAAACAGCAGCTCAGCTTGCTGACGTCTGCCAGCAGCTGCAGGCCTGCCACTCGTGGTTGTGCAGTGCCTGCTGCATGCCAGGCACAGGCCGGCTTCTGGGTAATTTAATTCTTAGGCAATAAAACTTTCCCCTGAGCGCCTCTCTTGACTCTTGGCCTGGGCCTGCGGTGGGGCCGACGGGCGCCCAGGAGGGACCGGCGATGGGGAAGCCAGAGACCCCGGCCTGCCGGGGAGAGAGTGTGGATTGTGCAAAGATGCTGAGCCACGCCCCATGCTGGGCAGCCCCCCCCCCCCCCCGTCCCCCCTGTCCCCTGCTCGAACCCCGACTGCACACGCTGCCTTGCCGGATTCCTCCCTCTTTCGGGGCTGGACCTGGCCGACGGCCTGGCCTTTTCAGGGCCGTCCTGAGCCTCAGGTGGGCACCCCCCTGTAACTTGGGCAGAGTTCTCCCTGAACAGAAAGCTCCCTGAGCCCCATGTGTGTCCCCCCGCCCCCCACACCGCTTTCTCAGCACTGGGCGCCTTCATTCCTCACGGCGATCCCCGCACAGACAGCCAATTTCTCCTTTTCCCCCAAACGGGCCGGCATTTCCTCACAGCAGCTTTGCCCTCAAGCTAGGACAAGTATGAAGGTTTGAAAGGAAAGCCAGGAAACCATCCACATTGTTTCATCAATAAGGACTGAGACAAAGGGTTTCTCGGTGACTGCCTCCCGCCCCCCGCTTCACCACGCAGCCCATCACGCCTGCTCATGAAAAGCGTCACTGAGATATTCGCAGCCGTCCTCCCGGCCAGGCTCCCGCTGCTGCTGGCTCTGACCCGCCGCGCCCAGAAAGTGTGACGCACACCCGGCTCCACTGGGCCGCTTCTCGGGCCTGCGCTTCGAGGGACGCACGGCCACGGCCTTTAACTCCGCTCCCCTCCCTGCAGGGCGTGCTCGCCTGGAGACAAAGCCTCACAGACCTGGGAGCCGTGGTGCCCACTGTGGCTTCGCAGCCTTAAAAGAAGCTGCCTTAGGAGCGGCCCTGCTTGCTGGCTCCTTTCTGCGCCAGGCTGTCCACGCTGGACCCCTGTACGTCCAAGAAGGGACGGAACGTTTAGTGAAACTCGAGAACCAACGCCCCTGGCCCCTTTACCGTGTGCAGCTCCGGGCACTGCCCACATCACCGCATGGCACAGCCAGAGGCCGTGGGCACCGAGGACCAAACACGTCCCACGCGGCAGCCTCTCTGTGCCACCTGCACAGGGCGGGGTGGCCCTCTCAGCACCCCGGGATGGAGTCTCGTCTGCGTTAACGTGTGAGTGTGAGTGTGGCTTACACCCACCTCGCCAGCTGAGGCTGTGGACCTGGCCCAGGACCTGTCCACACGCGTGGGCACAGCAGCCATAAGCACCCGGCCCTGTGTGCTATGGGGACGCTTTGGGGGACACTCTCACCTTTTCCCCAAGAGCCATGCTCACTTTAAAAATTAGACTTATTCAGAGAAATTCAGAGACTCTGGAAATAAAATGAATTTTTAAAGGACGGATAAACTCGAAGGTGAAGGTCACCGGGAGTGTGGCTTCGGTCCCCCCTCCGTCCTCCCCGCACAGCCCCGACACGCCGCCGGGAGCAGCTGGCGGGCAGTGGCTGCTCACATGCCCGGACTCTAAATATTTACAAATACACGAGCTCAACTTTGACTTTAAATAGGCAGCAGCCTCAAAACTCGAAAGGCTCATTTCCATAAACACTCTGGGCTGATGCGGTCGGCGCTCCTCCATGGGCTGGGTGGAAGGTCCCGCCGGCCACAGCTCCCGCGCAGGCAGCCGCCCTGTCCATCGGCATCGGGCTTCCCGCCACCACAGCCACGACGGCAGCACCTGGTGGTTCTTGGCCATTTTTCCTTTACCGACTCTTCTCTGCTCCAAAACTTTGAGAGAGAACTTTAGGAAAACTTCCCTTTAATCACATCTCTCGCCAGTCAGTCACTGGGTGTTTCTCACTTTATTTAAATGAAGTTAGAATTGCCCGACTGGCAGGCTCAGTGGTTGTCAGCCTATGAACCAGGAGGTCACTGCCGATTCCCCACTGGGACACACGCCTGGGTTGATCCCCAGTCAGTGATTCTCTCTCATCTTTAATGTTTCTGTCTCTCCCTCTCCCTTCCTCTCTGAAACCAATACACATATTTAAGAAAGTAAGCGAAGTGAGTATTGGAAAGGACATTAGTGAACAAGTAACGGAACTTCCCTTGTCCCATCTGGAACCGGAAACCTGGGAGAGCACTAACCGGCCCATGGGAGCCCGTTCAGATAGAGCCGAGCCCAGCCCGTCCACTGCCCACCAGCGCACCCTGCCCGGCGGTGTGACATGAGCTCCCTGGGTTTGGTCAGCGGGTTCTGTCTCCAGGTGATGGAGAACTCGCCAGGGACCGCTTCAGTGGAGCTGGCCATGGGAAACAGGCTGGCTCGTCTCGTGAGGAATTTAAAAACCTGGAAGCACGGAGCCCCACCGAGTTCCCGTAGTGCTTGGGGAGAAGGAATGGCGGTGGGAGCAGTGGGTGTGGAGGGGAGGGGAGAGCGGAGGGGAGAGGCAGGTTTGGCTGGGAAGCACGAATTCAGGTGTCGCTTTCCCGTCAGGACGCACGCTGGCGGTTCTCTCCAGGAGGACAGTGTGTAGCGGCTCACTGCTCCGTGTTCCCAGCCCCTCAGGCACATTGCTACATGAGGTGGCTGCTGTCAGGGGATCTTTTTAAAGACACTCTGTGCTTCCGATAGCAGGGAGCGGAGCAGGTTTCAGGTTCGCCCCAGTGTCGTGGGGGACAAGCCCCTTTGCTACCATCTTCTCTCTACTCAGCACTGGGAGGTTATTTTTAGGGTAAAAGGCACCAGAAAGAAGACCTGAGCTGAGAGACAAGAAGTCCCGCCGCTCCGGACGGCAGGCCCTTCCTAGCCAGCACCCAGAGCGGCTCAGGCCCCCGGGACCGCCGGGCCCCCGCTCCCTGAGAAAGTCCTCCTCGAGATTCTGGACTATGTTTTCCAACAAGTCACACAGGTTTTCCAGCTGCTGAGCCCAGACTGTAGGGTCCCCCAGAATACTGTCCAGCTTTAGGGGGACCGGGGCTCACAGGTGTCTCCACCTACCTAAGAGGAACGGCAGCCAATAAATGACCTCGGTGGCCGAGCGCTTTCTGCCCACAATCCCGCTGCTTCCTTCCATGGAGCAGTGAGGAGGCCGGGGTGCCCTGCCCCTGGCCCCTCACCAGGCAAACGCAGACAGGATGGTCCGGGCGCAGTCACCCACCCTCACACCCAGACACAGGCTGCAGCCTGGCTCCGTTTCACCAGGAGGGAAATGAGGCGCAGAGAGACCAAGGGAGCTGCAGGCTCGCTCGGAGCCGGCAGTACGGTGGGAGTCGAACTCACAGCCTCGCAGGCACAGGAGGGGCTTCTGGGCAGATGCCCCAGGGCACAGGCTCCCCCAGGCATCCTGTCCTGGCTCCCTGCTCACAGCGCAGACAGCTGCCTGGCACCTGTCTCACCTGCTCCCCCCTCAGGCCCCTGGGTGCCTCCCCTGTCCCCCGCTAATGCCCTGCGGCGCTCACCTTTCCAGGCAGGAGTGGGGCAGGGCGGCCAGTCCTTTGCACATGTTTGCGGCTGGCGCTTCCGCTGTGACACAGGCTTAGCAGAGGCTTCTGCGAACCAACTTCCCAACTTCGGGAGTCTCTGTCTCCGGCTGGCTCCCCCTGGACAATAAGGGCCCAGCAGTCCGGCCTGGCGGCCAATCCAGAGCCGCAGGGGCGGGGCGGGGCTGCGGGGACTGCGGGGCGGGTAGGGGCTGGGCGGCTGCAGTCAGGGCTGCTGATCCCAGCAGGGTCCCTTGTTCCCACGGGTTCGGAGGCCCCCCTCCCCCACAGTGGGCTCTTCCTGAAGCTGAAGGAGCGCCTCAGGTCTTCCAGGTCTCGCCCTGAGGGGACTTCAAGGGCCCCGTGGACACAGATCCCAAGATTCCAGGGATGAGTGATAAAAACTTAGACTAATGGAGCAGCACTTGGGTACTGCCTCGCTATTTCCTCACAGTGTCTTTCTAACCCAGGATTGCTGAGATCTGGGTCTTGTCTTTAGTTTTCTTTGGAGAAGTATAATTTCTAAAGTAAGACTTTCCACTGTGAACCTGTACTTAACTGCATCACAGTTGAGATAACGCGGTCTGGAAATGTGAAACTCGGCTGGAATGTGTTGTTTTTGGTAAATGTTCCTCCTGAGCGTGGAAGTGCATGTTCTCTGTCGGGGCAGGCACGGCCCTGCACGTGTGCAGCCACCGTGACCTTTCGTTTTGTTCGTCTCCACAGTTTCTGTGTCAGTTACTGATGGAGATTCTTTAACATTCCCAATGTGAGACAGTTTTCCAGCATCTTCTAGTAACGGAGACAGTATTTGTCGCATGCATTCTGAAGCTTTATTTAGGTCCCTACAAGGTCATGATCTTTGTACCTTTTAATGTAGCAGGCTTTCTAAGAATCTGTATCTAATACTGATTGTCTCTCTCAATGAATTTTGCTCTCAAATCTATCTTGTCTGATATGAATACTTCTTCCTCACTAGTTTTGATTAGTAGTGGCCCACATTAGTCATTTCTGGGTATTTTTTAAATTAAAAAACCTATCTCCATGTTTCAAATCCAATGGTCTATGTCCCTCCATGGTTGATAAGTGTGATTCTGTTTCTGTTTGTTGGTCAGGCATGTGGGTATAGTCTGTGTGGACACTTTTATCCTTTTTAAACTTGGAGCTTATGTAATCCTTTCTGTTAGGCTTGACTCCTTGATGGTTACACATTCTATTATTTTAATGGCTACCCATCCATTTTTAATATGCTTATTACATCCATTTTAAAGCTAAACGTCACTTAGTACCTCTCTCCTTTCCCTGATAAAACAAAGGCCTGACCTCCAAGCACTGCCTCCCCTCCTCCCGCTGAGAACACCGCACACAGTGACTGCTGCTTCCTTCCTCATGACCCGGCTGGCCCTCGCCTGAACTACCCTCTGTGCTCTGTCTCCCACATCACTGTGTCCGCTCACTTTCCCTCTTGTTTAGTGTTCCAGTCAGTGAGGACCTGTGGGTGTGGACTTCACAAATCCTTGTATTTCTAAAAAAAAAAATAAAAATAAAAAATAGGCTGGTCGCATTGTCTTAGTTGTAGAATGCAGTGCTGTTCGCTGAACAGTGATTTACAGCCTCTGTGACTGGCTAACTGTCCCGTGGCCGTGGCTGTGGGGTGCTGTCTCTCTGGGCCCCTGGGGGTCCCTCCATTGCAGTAGAAAGGGCCTCGTGTGTCTCAGTTTCTGGGCTGCCCGGCCTTCCCTCAGCTGTAGAGATGCCAGGCGAGGTGTGTCTATGAGGCTTCCTTCCCAGGGTCTCTTCTCCCTGGGAGCTTCCCGGGGCAAGGCTGAGGCGCCGTTTCCCGCCTCATTGGATGTTTTCAGGCCGTTACATCTCTGAGTGGCATTTGGAAGGGTTTTCTCCATGTTGTCTGCCAGGCCACTGATTCTTAATTCAGCTGCGGCAATTCTACCCTTTGCCCTTCAAAGGAGGTGTTTACCTTCTTAAATTTTAGAGAGCTGTGAATGTAACTCCTTAGATTTCTACTGGACCCATTTGAATAACTATCCTTGTCCCAGTTTTATGAATATAACGTGCTGCTTCAATGCCTTAACATTTTTTTTTTGCATTTGATATGTAATCTTCCCCATTACATTTGACATTCACTATTATTTTGTGTTAGTTTCAGGCGCACAGCATCTAGTTAGACAATCGTACACCTTACACAGCGCCCCCTGGTGTTCCCACACCCCCTGCACCGCGCACAGAGCTGCTACAGTGCTTTTACTAAGTCTTCCCTGTGGGTGCTGGACAGCCTGGGACTGCTCTGTGACCGCCAGTCTGTGCTTCTCACTCCCTTCAGCCCTTCACCCAGTTCCCTCCACTGCCCCCCCCCGACCCCCCTATCGCAATTGTATTTATGTGTTCTTCTCTTTTGTTTGTTCAATTATTTTCCTTTTTAGATTCCACATACAAGTGAAATCGTAGGGCATTTGTCTCGACCTGTTGACTTACTTAGCAGAATACCCTCTAGGGCCACCACATGTAAGGTTTCATTCCTTCCATGCCGAGGCGCGTCCCGTTGCAGATCTGCTGCTGGGCCCTTGAGGTGCTTCCACAGCTTGGCTCATGATGCTGCAGTGAACATAGGGGTGCGTGTGCCTCTCTGAGTTTGTGTTTTGGTTATTTGCACACATACCTCCTGAGTAGGATTGCTGTGCTGTCATGTGTTTAAAACACGCACTTGTATTTAAGGGCTCTCGCTGGCCGTCCAGGGGGCCGTGTGACCGTGGTTGTGAGCAGAGACCGGAGACGGAAGGACCTTGGAGCAATAGGGCTGCCGCTGCCTCTAAGCAGAGTCCTCCAAACCTCGCAGCCCTTGCCTTTTGCAAAGCGGAGCTCAGGAGATGATGACTATTACAAGTTTGAGCTCACTGCAGCCTCACCAGCAGAATTACCCCCTCTGTCTTTTTAAATGGGTCTCCCAGGACCCAGAAGTGCTCCCGGGCTTTCATTCCTGTCTGTGATGCTACTTTTTGTGGAGTTGCCTCCTGTGGCAGAGCTTTCTCCCAAGGACGTCCTGCCCGGGTTTTGGGCTCTCCCCAGGTCTGTGTGGGGCTGGAACCTGAGGGCAGGAGGGCCAGCTAAGCACCGGGCTCCGAGCCCAGGCAGGGGCCATGGAGGAAGAGGAGTGGATGTTAGAGAGAATGACTGAAGACGACAGTTCTGCGACGTGCGGGTGAGAAGTTGTCAGGCGTTTGCTGGTGAGTGGAAGTGGAGGACTGTGAAGCAATATGTGGAGACCAGTCTTCCTGGAAGTTCGGGGCGACTGGGGGAGAGCAGCCATATGCTGACTTGAGCAGCGGTGCCTGCCGCTGTGGGTCCTTTTAACACAGAATGAACGGGAGGTGAGTGTCTGCCGGTGGAGGGGGCAGGCTGACGCTGGAAAGGAGGCAGCACACGGGAGGCTGTGGAAGGTCAAGGCCAGGCTGGTGATTCTGAGGGGAGCTGGGGGGTTGGGAGCTGGGGGGTGGGAGGTGGGGGATGGATGTGGGGGGATGTGAGCTGGGGGGTGGGTTTTGGGGGATGGGAGCTGGGGGAATGAGTGTGGGAGGATGGGAGCTGGGGGGATGGGAGCTGGGGGGTGGGAGGTGGGAGCTGAGGGGGGGAAAGTGGGGGATGGGTGTGGGGGGATGGGAGCTGGGGGGATGGGAGCTGGGGGGTGGGTGTGGGGGAGATGGTAGCTGGGGGAATGGGTGTGGGGGGATGGGAGCTGGGGGATGGGAGCTGGGGGGGTGGGAGGCGGGGGATGGGTGTGGGGGGATGGTAGCTGGGGGATTTGTGTGGGAGGATGGGAGCTGGGGGGTGGGGAGGCGGTGTTCTTAGCTCAGGGCAGGTGTCGGCAACCTACGGCTCCAGAGCCGCATGCGGCTCTTTGAAGCTTTACCGCGGCTCCGACAACTTGCAAGCCCGTGTGAAAATGAAGGTAACGTCTTACAGCCCTGATGTGCTGACACTGTGCACTGAGGTTCAGGAGCAAAAATCCCATTAACCAGGTAAATTAAATATTTTAATTAGCTATTAATTTGCAAAAATATATTTTACATTGTTAAGTGAAAAAGTCCTTTTTTTCTTCAGATGGACAGCTAACTGCACGATCCGGTATATAGCGTTAAGGTAAGAAACAATATATGCAGTGTTATATTTGTTTTAAATGTAGCAATGGTTTTGCGGCTCCCAGGTTTTTTTTTCCTTCGGAAATGGATCCAAGTGGCTCTTTATGTCTTAAAGGTTGCGGACCCCTGGCTTAGGGGATGCAGCATGGGCCCTGTGGAAACTCGCACACGCTCTTCCCATCTGTCAGGAAGAACTGGAGCTGAAGACCGTGTTTGTTAAATGGTCCGGTGTTTTGACAGAGGGGTGGCCTCCTGTATCCAGGTGCCGCCAGGGGCAGGACAAGGTGACAGGCCGTTCCCAGAGCCCCTCTCCGCCGTGAGCTGGTGCACACTCCACGCTTGTCGCTTCTACCAGGACCTGCTTCTCTGACAGAACAGACAGTCAGCAGAGCCGGGTCCGGTGTGACTCCTCCGGCGGCCGTGCTATGGGAAGGCCCGCCCCGGAGAACTGCTGGAGGACCCTCCTGAGAGTCCCTGTCCTCACTGCGCACCATCCACCTGGCACGGGAGGGACTTTAAAAACATCTGAGTGGGAAGGATTTTAAAAACATCCTCTGAGCCCAAATGCTTAGACCTCATTCCCTCCCGCAGAGTGAGCAGGCCTTGGGGACGGAGGCTGGTCTCCGACCCCGGCCCCGTCTCTGGGTTTGGCTCCCACCTGACGGGGCAGGAGGGGGAGGGACCTCTAACCCGCCGGGTCCCCCAGTGGGCTCTTTGACTTGGGGGGGGGGTCACAGCCTCTGGGTCGTACACCCACATGTGGAAGGTCAAGGACAGCTTAGCCTAAGCCTCTTGAGGCTCCAGAGGGACCACGTTCTGCCTTTGGGTTCCCAAGGAGTGCAGGATGGAGGGCAGGGCCAGGAACTCTGCTGTTGACCTCATCAGGGAGACCATTCAGCAACGTCCACCAGAGGACCACCTCCCGGAGAGTCTGTGGCATGCCGACCGCTCACAAGGGGGCCATGGGCGGCGTGTGCTCCTGTGTAGGTAC